ACGTGTGCTCTTCCGATCTCATAACTTGCAGAAATTAATGGATATCGTGCAATTATGTAATCATATATTTGTATCTACATTATTTTGTCATAATCATAAATTTGGTTAACTCAATATGCAAATTATTATTATAATTCACATAGGTTTGAAAGATAACAAGATTACAAAGATTACACAAATATATTTGCAAAATTGGTTACTATATGAGTCTTTTATATACGCCTGAGTACATAATAGAACTTAAAAGTTTCATAGTAACCAATTTTGCGAATATATTCGTGTAATCTTTGTAATCTTGTTATCTTTTAAACCTACGTGAATTATAATAATAATTTGCATATTGAGTTAACCAAATTTATGATTATGATAAAATAATGTAGATACAAATATATGATTACATAATTGCACGATGTCCATTAATTTCTGCAAGTTATGAATTTCTAGTCAAGCTATATACATACATTATGCGAATCATATATTTGTAGCTATAACTAAGAATGTAATTAACTATGCATTATTTCACAGTCATATTAATGAAGCTGAAAGATTATTTTACTGTTTATTTTAAAATGTAAAAGTTTTTGTAAAATTTTGAATATGTATGATTGAATATGTAATATTTTTGAAGGATGAGGACAAAGGAACAAGCGGGTTCGTCCAAGTCGTCGGGCTCTGCAGGCTCTACTGAGGAAAAAGAAAAAGATGAGAGGATGTTTGAGTGCAATATTTGTTTGGACACCGCAAAAGATGCAGTAGTCAGCATGTGCGGCCATCTCTTCTGGTAAGTATTTATTTGGTAATGACATAGCATGTCAAGGAGTGAAATATTATGATTTGAATAATATAAATGATAATGCAGCTGGCCATGTCTGCATCAGTGGTTAGAGACCAGACCTACCAGGCAGGTTTGTCCAGTATGCAAGGCTGCCATAAGCAAAGATAAAGTCATTCCATTATATGGACGAGGTGCTACAAAGCATGAAGACCCACGGTATAACTCGTTCTTTTTTTGTCAAAATTGAAAATTATAAATATTACGCTAAAATAAGTATAATCAGTAAAAATACGATTTGCTTCAGGAACAACGTGCCACCACGCCCGGCCGGTCAAAGGTCAGAGCCAGAAGCTAATGTCGGCTTTCCCGGCTTTGGTTTCGGTGATGGTTCCTATATGTCATTCGGCATTGGCACTTTTCCATTCGCTTTCTTTACGTCGACTTTTAATTTTGGAGATACACGACCAAGCGCAGGTAACATTCATCATAAAAATAAGGGGAAAGATGTAATTATGGAATTATAGAGCAAAACTACTTATTTTTATGTTCCTTTTTTCATATAATTGGTTTCATATGATTTTGATCAATACTGTTTTAATTCTTTGAGAATTGAGTTTTCTAACGAAGTAAATTATGAAAGATTTTGTTTTAATTCTGGCTTCAGAATTCTAGAATTCAAAATGATGAATTTAATGTGATAGAGAATCTTCCAGATTTCAAAAATTTATTGGTTATCATAGAACTTGTTTTTACGAGCTCTTGGATCGCCGACTTCAAATATAATCGTAAAATATCAAAATTTAAAAAACCCTCCAATGAAAGAGGAACTTATATCACAGAGCTCATAATTAGAGTTTGGAAGTAGATACAATTGTTTGTCCCATTTATTCCGATCTGTTACTAATAGTCAGTTACTGTTGAGCTTCAAATAAATGGAATTGAAAATTTAATGTTATTAGCAATGTTCAAAAATCTCTAAAACTGAATTTTACGATATTTAGATTATTTTTTTCTGTTTGCCATATTGGATCCCTTATTTTGAATTTTGTATATCTGATTTCAGATTTGAATAAACATTACAAAATTATTTCATAGATCAAATTTTATGAAAATCGAGAAGTTTACAAAATAAAAAGAAATGGCAATAAAAATGACCGCCTGCCCACAAAAAGTTAAATACATTTTTTTTAATTTTAATTATGGTTTAAAAAAGTCAGTTTTTTTGTAATTTTATTTTTAACTTTTGATAAAACTATAATTTTTTTTAACTTTATCAAGTCAATCTAGTATTTCTTATTTCTGACATAGCTTAATATAGCTTTATAAAATATGTAGAAATTAATCTTAATTATAATTAAAAAAAAAACAATTTCAATAAGATCGCTAATTATATACAACAAACAAATAAGAGGAAATACCTACTTAAAAAAAAAATTGATACGATCTCCTTAAAAAAAAAAAATTGATATTTGATAATTTGATAATTTTCAAGTACATTTTCTCGCTTACTGTAGAACAGTACAAAACAGATACAAGGCATAAATTAATATATACATATATCGCATATATGAAACAAAGTATAATTTTATTTAATCATATTTTATATTTGAAGTCATTTTTTTATATATTTATAAAATTGTTTTAGTAAAATACTTTTTATTTTAAATTTATTTTATTAGAAAATTAATGATTGATAATTATTTAGCATAAAAAACTTAGCTCCAATGATCTTGATATTGATATATATATTGTCAATGTCATGATCTTAAGTAACAATCAAAAGATTTTAGCCATTGTTCATCATTTATATTAAAAAGTTATTAGCAAAGTTGACAATATAAACGTGTATTTAACTTCATACTTTTAAGTTTATTTAGCATAAATATCACATTATTTGCATATATATAAGTGCCTGAACACTAGGCACTGCCCATTTTCTTGCATTCTCATCCTGGAAAAACCTAACTTAAACCAAACTTAAACCTACTTCTAATTAGGAATTAAAATTGGATTTGGTAGATTAGAGTATACATTAGATTATACATTTTTAGGGATGAAGAGGCATTTACTTAAATATGCAAATAATAGTTTATTCATACTAAATAAAATTTAATATTTCATTTGTCAATGAATTTTTTAATACACAACGAATAACAGCAAAAGATTGAAATAATTACTATTACAAGAATCGAAACATGAGCGAGAAATGAGTTGAGGTAAATATGACTAGAGATTTGAAACAATGTGATATTGAAAAATCATTGTTTTATATTATACATGATTTTATAAAAAAGAAAATTTGGTCTCTGGAAGTAATTATGTTAAATAAGAACAATATGATTATCATTAGTATCACATGCTGAAAATTTAGATATATATTGTCACAAAATAATAATTGATAACAAGGAAAACCAAACTTTATATTAGATAATAGTACGAAAACGTATTTAATGATTTTCTTAATTATTTAAAGTATTTAAACAATTTCGATTTTAAAAGGATAGAAGAGTAATATTCAATTTATTCAATTTATTCAATTTATAAGTTTGTGTATATGATAGATAAGTGTACAGTCGTGTACAAATAGGTTGCGACACTTTTTTTTTATAGGTTTCAAAACGCACTAATATTTTGCAAATGCGAACCACGTGATTGGTGTTATACTGTCTCTAGATTAAAGATAATACTACTAATCGTGGTTCGCATTTGCAAAATATTAATTATCTACATAAAAATATATATTATGTATATTAAATATATTAGAAACTACCTATAAAAAAAAAGTGTCGCAACCTATTTGTCCACGACTGTACACACATGTGTAAGCGCGCGCACGCGTGCACGCGCGCACGTCAAGCTTCAAAACTATTTAAACATTTTATTGCATTTAAATATTAATTTTCAAATGTAATAATTTTTTTAATTTTGGGTTAGATTAATATTTTAATAATCAAGAAATAATTTTTAAAAAAGAATTATTTATTTCCAGCTCCTAGAGGCACGCCACAATACGATGAAGAGCAATTTTTATCCAAGGTATTTTTGTGGTTAGCGGTGATATTCATCTGTTGGCTGTTGATGGCATAATATTGTTTCTAAATCATACATCGGACTATCCAATAATTTGTCATACTTATAATGCCGATTTGCCCAATTATTGTCTTGTTTATAATATCCTTTTGGTTTATGGTAATTACAACATTACATTGGTTTTTATTACGTGGATCTTATAAAATCTCTTAATTTTGAAGAAAGAAACAAAAATACAAATTTATTTACGCGTATTTAAAAACTATGTGATGAAAAAATTCTTCTCACTTTCGCTTTAGAAAAGAGGAAAAAAGTACATCAAGTGTTTTGTTCAAAATACTTGTGCAAAACGTTGTACACGATTTCGTGGTATTTGCACATTTCGAACGGGGTGGTTCTTTTCCTATTTGGATAATTCTGATATTTTAATGTTACTCTTTTATGTACATATTATATATAAATATATCCATAGAAGAAAAGCGTAATTTGCAATATATTTAAAGTATAAAAATGTATAACTTAAATGAATACGCAGAGAGAGAGGGAAATATTAATATATATATCGTTAAAATAAATTGGGCGGTTTTATGAAAAACTGCAAATTTGGACAGTGTATATAATAAATAAATAAATATATATATATATATATATATATATATATATATATGTATATGTATATGTGTATAACTGAATATAAATTAAAAATAAGTACGCTTGCTAAAATGATATAATATTGTGGTATTAATAATATACATTGAAATATAGCAGGTTGCGACAAAAATGGATTTAATATTAGCAATAATTAATTTTTTCATGTTTCTTTCAATTTGATGATGTTTAATTTTATTCTTTTGTAATGATTCTAAGAGATTTTTTTATAGTTATTCAAATTTCATTTTGAGAACGTATTGAGATATTTAAAATGGAGTTTTATATTTGAAAGACATGAACACTTCAAGAGTGACATTTTGATTAGAAATCAATTGAAATTACTCAGTTGAGAAGCAAAATGGTTACTCATGTGAAACTTGACTTGATATACAAAATAATTAAAACAGTACGTGTTTGAAGATCTTTTTTAAATCAAATCAATTGACATGTATTAGTGACACATCTAAAATGGATCGAGTTAAGAGGATGCTGAAAGGTCAGAAAAATTTGCACGAGATCGATAAAACAGATTCTTCAATGTCAATGGTATCTCTAAAGACTCTAAATAAACTTCTTACAATATCTCTTGTCTTACTCAAACACGTGCATTGTCCTTATTTAATTTATTAAAACGCCATCTTTTGCAAAATTCGGCGCTTACTGCTAGACGCAATTTTTGTTGTCTACCATTTCTGTATTTTAGCTAAACGTATGAATTACCATAAATTACAGTTTAGTGGATATCTTTTTTTCTAAGCTTTCAATCGTAGCTCAAAAGACTTTGTATTATTCGTTCATATAATCTGTGGTGAGACGTAAGCATTTTGTACATATGAGCTTCAGAACTTTTACACTAATAACATGTTTAAGTCAGGTGATAGCTGTTTTTTAATTTTTTTCTTATTCTACAAATTCGTCCGTCTCACAATTTTATGTCTATTTCAATCCTGTGAAAGGATTTTCAATTCAGTCAATTTGGAGAAATTTACTAAACTGTAATGTCGGTAATTCCGATCTTACAGCATGCTGAAGGGTCTAATTATGTACAAAATGCTTACGTCTCACATTACATTACTGAATAATACAAAGCCTTTTGAACTGCGATTGAAAGTGTACAAAAAAAGATATCCACTAAACCTGTAATTTATGGTAAGTCGTACGTTTAGCTAAAATACAGAAATGGTAGACAGCAAAAATTGCGTTTAGCAGTAAGTACCGGATTTTGCAAGAGATGTTTTAAAAAGTTAAATAAGGACAATGCACGTGTTTAAATAAGATAGGAGATATTGTAAGAAGTTCATTTAGAGTCTTTAGAGATACCATTGACATTGAAGAATCTGTTTTACCGATTTCGTGCAAATTTTTCCGACCTTCAGCATCTTCTTAAGGCGATGCCGGAAGGTTCGAAAAATTTGCACGAGGTCGATAAAACAATCTGTTCAATTTTAATGGTACCTTTAAATGAACTTCTTATAATATCTTCTGTCTCAGTCAAACACGTACATTGTCCTTATCTAACTTATTGAAACGCCATCTCTTAGATCGGAAGAGCACACGT